ACCAGCTCCTTGAGAAGACTGATCTTCCGCTGGGGCCAGTCTCCCGCTGGGGGCGAGAGGGGAAATGCTCCCCTAAGGGGAAGGGGGGTAGGGAGGGAAGGAGGAAAGGGAAAGGGGGAGGTGGGCGGGGTCTGGGGGAGGGGCTGAAGCAGAAGCACCCACACTCCCCAGCCCTCTCAGCCCTCCCAGCCAGGGCCTCAGCAGCTGCGGACTGAAGGAAGCTGCTGCGAGCGCTCTCCCCGGGACCACAGGAGCAGAGGGCAGTCCCGTGACTACACGTGCGACCACATGGTCACATGGGACCCTGGCCGGGCTGGCCACTGGAGCCAGGAAGCAGGGAAGATGCGTCCAGGGCCAGAGACTGAAAGGTCCCCATGGGAGGAAAGTCAGGCGGCACAGTCCCCCACCAGGGAGCTCTCCAGGCTCCCCGGGGGGAGAGCAGGCTGTGGCTGGGTTTGTCAGGGGAGTTGAGGAGAAAGCCCCCGGGTTTGGAGACATAGCACCCCCGACAGTGGAGCACACTCATCCTTCCCTAGAGAGGCCACCGCACTGTCCGGACTAGGCCAGGTGGTGTTTGTGGGATGGGGTGGGGCGCAGCCCTCAGCCTGGCCCAGCAGCGGCCCCAGCACCCAGCTGCTCAGCGGTGGCTCTTGCCCCCCAGGGGCATTCGGCAATGTCTCAGGACATCTGAGTTATCACAACTGCAGAGCGTGTACTGTGTGCAGTGGGTGAGGCCAGGAATGCTAAGCATCCAACACGGCCCAGGCAGCCCCACAGAATTATCCTGCCCCGATGCCGGCAGTGCTGAGGCGGAGAGCCCTGAGCTAGTGGCTGAGGGTATGAGGCTGTGGTCTCCGGGAGCAGAAGCACCTTTAGTCGTGAAGGACATTTTCCTGGAGCACCGGCACAGGTTCCTCCAGGCCCGAGGGCACGCGTCCCCAGGGTGCTGCAGACGCAGATTCGGATCCTGCAGGCTGCTGAGGGTGTATGTCGCTGTGCTGGTCCTCAGGCCGCGCTTTGAGTAGCAAGGGGTTAGCATGTGGTGATCTCCCCTTTCCTGTTCTTCTCCCTCATTCTCTTCCCACCCCCACCCCCAGCCTTCCCTGTCACACTCGGTTTGAACGCTTCCATGCCCCGTCACCAAAGAACATGTGGTGGTTAAACTCCACTGCCCAGATGGCAGCTGCTCTCCAGCTGTTGCCAATTTGGAATTCAGGGTGCTGATCGTATCAATTGACTTAATTGGAAAAAGGACCCCAAGGGGCTTGATCAAAGTGCCCCCACACACGTAAGAAAGCTAGCCCCTCAGAGGCATGTTTGGCTTGGCCCGGGACACTCCCGCAGCATGGCGGTCACGGCCTTGGGGATGCCCTTGCTTCACCGACATTCCTGTTCTAACGCAGAGGCTGGCTGTTCCTGGAAAGGACCAGATGGCAACTATCTGACTCTTTGCAGCTCAGACTGTCTGGGTCACAGCCTCTCACTCCAGCACTGTATCAGGGAGGCAGCCACAGGCCGTGTGCAAATGAACAGATGCAGTTTAGTCGTGCTCCAATAAAACTTTATTTACAAAACAACTAAGGAGCTGGACTTGACCCATGAGCCACATTTTGCAGTACCATATTCTGAACAGTTCCTGTTTATCCACTCTCTGCTTCAGCCAAAAAAAACAAAGTCACATAGGGAATTCTTAGTGGCCAGAACGGAATCCTCAGCCTGAGCGGTAAATGTCTAGAGAACAGAGGTGAGTAGGTACCATTTCTCTTACCGCACAGAACGGTGAGTGTGTTTTTTAGGTTGTCAGAAAATTAGCTCCGGCTTCCTATCTCTATTGTTTTTTTGTTTTGTTTTGTTTTGTTTTGTTTTTGTTATTAATGTTTTTGGAGGAGTGTAAGTAGAATAAATAAATAAGACACAGAAAGGTGTACCTTTGCTGAAACTGGTTTGGCTCAGAGGATAGAGCATCCACCTGCAGACTGAAGGGTCCCAGGTTTGATTCCTGTCAAGGGCATGTACCTTGGTTGCGGGCACGTCCCTAGTAGGGGGTGTGCAGGAGGCAGCTGATCGATGTTTCTCTCTCATTGATGTTTCTAACTCTCTATCTTTCTTCCTTCCTCTCTGTAAAAAATCAATAAAATATACATTTAAAAAAAAAAAAAAAAAAGAAAGAAAAGTGTACCTTTACGTCTGCACGTTCTTCTCTCGAGCCTTGAGCTCCTGGCTTCTGCTCTTAGAACAAATGGGGGAGGGACACGGCACAGACTGCCTTTCTCTTCCCTCAGACCACGGCATCCTTGGAAAGCCTGGGTTTGTCTTGCTGTCCTGGCCTGTGTGAGACCTGTGTGCAGGGAGGGGACCCTGTTGGACAGCAGTGCTGCTGTTGCTACACGCCTGGCCGCACGTCGCCGCTGGCAGTTTACCCACAGAGGCCCAGGCTGCGTGCAGTACTGACCTCTCCTTGTGGGCCGAGGCCTGTGGCCTCCACGGGGGCCTGGACATCTGTGCAGCTGTGGGCCACACTGGCCCTGGGATGAGGGTGAATCACATCTAGACCTTCGCTCCACAGTCTCCATCGAGCGCCTCACACAAAGCCCGGCATTATTGGGAGAGAAAAAAACCCTCTTTGTCCATTAATAGGACAGAGTTCCACTTGAGAGGAGAGCGACCTGGCATCGGTGCTCACACTGGCGGGGATCTCCTGCTGGGATCCCGACGGTGGGCTGCAGCCAGCGCCCGCTGAGAACTGGGTTCACAGTCTCCCCGCCCCCTCCAGCCCTGCGCTCCTGCACACACACACACAGACACACACAGACACACACACACACACATGCTCACACACACACACACCGTGGCTCAGGCAGCGGGGAAGGAAAAGTGCATTTATTGCAGGATCTCAGAGTGGCATTTGGGAGCCCCAGTCGGTTGGATTCGCAGCGTTTTGACAAATGGAATAAAGAGTTGAGTTGCATCTGGGTTGAAGAATAACCCCTTACGGCAGTTTGGAGGCACAGATTATTTTAACAGTGGTTCATCAGTGGTGAACACTGCCATGTGTGGGGGCCTGTGTGGCTCATGTTGCTAGATTCACTCATTCCTGTCATCGTGCATGCATCAAGCATTTGGTGTAAAATTCTTGGGACATGCTGTCTTTTCCTGGGGACTTTCAGGCCCCGCACACTTCCTTCCTGCATATTGAATCCAGGTCCCGGGACGGGGGCTAGCAAGCAGGAGCCAGTCCCTGCCCCTGTGTGGCTTATAGACTAGCCAAGGAGACGGGAAGGAAATAAAAACTATACAAATGTATTACAGCTGTGATGGATCTTAAAAAGGAAAGGTAGATATTTCCTAATCTAATAACCATGAGAGTTTTCAATCTCCGATGTTGTGCCCATTTTGCAGATGCTTCTCAGGAGGTTCAAAAGCTGCCGGAGACACCCAGCTAGGAAGTGGCTCTCTCTCCACTTGTGCTCAGAGTGAGAGAGGAGGGGGTGTTTACCAAAGTGAGGTGTGAACTGTGCTACTACAGTTCCTTCTTGGGGAACGTGGCAACTGCTCATTTAAACAGACCTCACGAGTTTTGATTAATGAGACAAAACATTTTTTGTAGATGGAGGAGCTAATTTTAAATTTTAAATCGTGTGTTCTTCACCTTTAAAATTGGAGAAGCCCCCGATAGTGGGCCATGTGATGAACCGCCAGCGGCAATGAGATTGACGGGTGTGGCGGTGGTGTTTTTGCTCCTCTCGGTTGGCGTCCCACAATCCACTGTTCTTTAGGTCTGGTCCACTCCAGGTCAGGGGCAGTGGCTTCTTCCTGGCGGTGGGTAGTGTGGGGATTCATTGATCTCAACTCCACAAATATTTCCTGAGCACCAGCAGGGTACCAGTCAGTGCTGCTGCCAGGAGAGTAAAGAGAACAGGAGAAAAAGACCCCTTTCCCATGGCATCCATTCAGCTGCAGACACACACACACACACTCTGAGGAAAGTAAGTCAGGATGGGGTCTTCCCAGAGGTCAGGTACTGCAGGAGACCGGTTGGTGGGGAACAGCCTCCCTCCTTTAGAAAGAGCGAGCTGGGCAGCACCATGGAAAAGGGCACTTTGACCCAAGGCCCTTGGTTAGAGGATGTCAGCTTTGCCAAAGGGAGAGCTCTCCGAAGGGGCTGGAGCGGGCCTGCAGGTGCTGGAGGAGGAGGGAGAGTGTGAGTCGGAACAGGGGGTGCAAGGAGCACCATGCACTTAGGGAAGGCAGGTCATAGCACTTAGGGAAGGCAGGTCCACTGCTGGGGCCCTGCTGTTACAGAGTGTTTAGGGTCACTGCTTGGTTTAAGAAGTGCCGCCCCAGGGGAAGGGCTGTCCCCGAGCCCCACTCACATCCTCGGGCTGCTGGCGGCTGCTGGGGACCCCTTTAGAGTCTGGAGCACTCATTTACTGAACAGTCTGGGGCAGTGCATGTCCCTCTGTCCACACCCAGGGAGGCGTTTCGTTTTCCAGGCATTTGAGAGACATCAGGCAGATGAGGGAACTGCTGGAAGCTGACAGGGCACTGAACTGGCCCGGCATCCGGGACTAGATTCCAGGCTCAGTTTTGCCAGGAAGTGCGTGGGCATGGGCCGCCTCCTAAGTGTCCTGGTCCAGCACGCCTGCCCTGGGTGGCTGTGGTGACCACTGGCCTCACAGAGGCCCTGGAGGCGCTTTGGAGAGTGAAACCCAAAAGGAGCGACATCCCACACAAGAAGCCCCGGGGGCTCCTGGAAGCTCGGCTGAGCCCCTGCAGGAATTAACGAGTCTACGGGTGCATCTCAGCCAGGGTCCTGGGTGGGCAGTGCCTGCGGTGGGTGGGGAGGGCCCTCCCACACCCTTTCCCAGCGGCCTCTGTGCGTGTCCACTGCACAGCCACATGCAGCGACCCTGAGTGACGAGCACGCAGAGGCCCCACAGCCACAGCGGCCCCCATCCCGCCCTCGGCATTAACTCCAGCGCCCTGTGCTCTCCCCGCAGGCCTCTCCGCGGACGGCGGCGCCAAGCGCCAGGAGCACCTGTCTCGGTTCTCCATGCCCGACCTCAGCAAGGACTCGGGCATGAACGTGTCGGAGAAGCTGAGCACCCTGGGCACGCTCAACTCGTCCGTGCAGTTCCGCAGCGCCGAGTCGGTGCGCAGCCTGCTGTCGGCGCAGCAGTACCAGGACATGGAGGGCGGCCTGCGCCAGCTCGGCGCCCCGCTGGGCTACCGGGACCGGCAGGCCCGCGGCGGCCGGATGCACCAGAGCTTCGACTTCGACCCCGGCGCGGGGGCGGGCAGCCAGATGCCGGGGCCCGACGGCGGCGCCAGGATCCAGCCCATGAGCGAGCGCACGCGGCGGCGCAGCGTGTCCCGCGACGACCCCCGCCACTTCCGGCCGCACCACCGGTCGCGCCGCTCGCGCCGCTCGCGCTCCGACAACGCGCTGCACCTGGCGGGCGAGCGGGAGGCGGCGGCCCGCCTGCAGGAGCGGCCCCCGCTGCTCCGGGGCGGCCGCGAGGACTACGACCAGTTCCTGCGCCAGCGCAGCTTCCAGGAGAGCCTGGGCCGGGGCTCCCGCCGGGACCTGTATGGCCAGTGCCCGCGGACCGTGTCGGACCTGGCCCTGCAGAACGCCTTCGGGGAGCGCTGGGGGCCCTACTTGGCCGAGTACGACTGGTGCTCCACCTGCTCCTCCTCCTCGGAGTCTGACAATGAGGGCTACTTCCTGGGGGAGCCCATCCCGCAGCCCGCCCGCCTGCGCTACGTGACCAGCGACGAGCTGCTGCACAAGTACAGCTCCTACGGCCTCCCCAAGGCGTCCACGCTGGGCGGCCGGGGGCAGCTGCACAGCAGGAAGCGGCAGAAGAGCAAGAACTGCATCATTTCCTAATCTGATGGGGCAGGGAAGGTGGGAGCTAAGAATGTAAATTCAGAAACTTGCACTGTTTTTTGTTTTTTTCTTTCTTGGAAAGCGCTTTTTGGGTGGTTGCTGGGGGGAGAAGAAGGGGCGTGCTCTCCGCGGAGGAAGGCAAGATCGCAGGTGGACTCGGTCGGTAGACACAGTTCTCGGCATGTGGACTATTATGATTTGCACATTTCACTTTGGAAACGCGATGGACTGCGCGGCGGAATCTAGTCCGGGACTAGCCCGGAATCTAGTCCGGTCGGTCGCCTCGGTGTGTGCAGTTGCCACTCCTGAGATGGCAGGTTGCTTCCTGCTCGCTTGTAATTCCTCCTCTCTGGTTCTCTTCCTTTTAGGACCCTTTTTTCCCCCCAGTAAGTAATTTGTTTATTTAGCCAGGACCCCAAGACTAAGTTATTTACATGTCCATTGTAAATGCGATGTAAATGAGAGTTCTGATAAAATATTTTTGTATTTTGTAATATCAAAGGAATTTCTATATGGTTAGACTCAGTGAAACCCGCATGCCATCCGCATCGTCTTTGTGTAGTATTCCGAGTGGCCAGGACCACCACCTTTTTTCCATTTTTCTATTACAAACTTGTTACATGTCAGTGAGACTTTTTTCAAAGGAGTTTATTCCATTTGGCTTTTTGTGGCGAAAAAAACACACAACACAGTTATTCTATCCAAAGCATTTTACGCTCTAGTTCGTCTTAAGTAGCCATCCTTAAGTCCACTCCCACCCTCAGTAGAATGTATTCTCTACGAAGTGGTAGTCATTTTTTAAATAGCGAACATAACCTTTGCCCGTTAGAGAAACCAATCAGTGTCAGTCAAGTTCCTCGAGACACGCCATCCCTGCCGGGAACCTTGGAGCTGCTCACGATTGATCTCTTTCTTGGGGAAATACAGTGACTGTGAGTGGTGCCGTTGTGTGCCGTCAGCATGATGTTGTTCTGAATGTGGCATTATTTTCTGGTGCTCATGTTTCCCGGATTGTACTATCCGCTTTCCTTAGCCAAGGCAGCTGCCTTAGCCTAACAACCAGTTGTCCTCATTGCAAATGAACTTGGGCCTTAGGACTTAGGGGCAGATGGGTTCTGACGGGGCTCTGGGAGAGACAGCGTGTCCTAGATGGTGCGTCATGCGTGGAGAAGGCATGAGGTGGTCAGAGAGCAGGGCGAGGGTAGAACTGACGGGGGATAGGAAGGAAGGGCCAAGGCCAAGAAGAGCTTCTGGAAATGAAGTAGAGGAACGGGGACGGCCAGCTTGACTGAGGAAATCATTCCGCTAACACCCTCCCTGCCCAGAGTGTCTGGGTCAGGTCAGGAGGCGTCAGCGGAAATGCCTTGAAAAGCAGACGTGGTTGAAAGGAGGATTTCCATTGTGAACGTAAGGGGATGGTTGGTCAGACTGAAAAATGGGCTCAAAAGTGAATTTGCTTCAAGAAGACAAATTTAACGGTTGTGTTGTTTATAGTAAAATAAAGCTCCCTACCTTGCTTCAGTTCAAAATGAAGCGCTTGCTTTTCCCCCCATTCTCCTCCTCCCCTTAACGGATTGTGGCGGTGGAACTAACCCGTCGCAGGACCCACCTTTAGTGAGACGTTCTGTCCATGTGCTACCCGGTCTATCTCAGTGGCCTCTGCCGTGGTGAGGTGCGCGTGATCTCTTTTCAATGCGGTAGTTACTATTTTCTAGTATTTTTTACGGAGAGAATGTGAAATGTGGCTTTTCAGACCCCACGCCAGGTGGGTCTGGGGAAAGGAAAGCTGTACGGGCTGTCCAAATGGCGCTCCATTCAGGATGTATTAAAGTAATTTGCTTTTCAGGTATTACTATGACATTTGTCATTGTCACTGATTTTTTTAAAAAAGCAATACAAGTGTTGGTTGTGGCTGTTTTCCGCATGCTATCTTCATATCTAAATGCTTCCTTAAGTATCCGAGCCTCCGGAGAATTACTCTTATTACGTCTGTATAGTAAGTCTGTAAACTGCTTGGCAAACTGATTTTAAGAAATAATGTGCCAAATCACATGACTAACGTGGCAGGTTTCTGGTAGAAATTGGGCAAGTCCCATTTGGATTTTCGAGTTCCTTGATTGATGAGAACAAAAAGGGATTTTGGAGAAAGAGAAAAAGGAGATGGCTTTGTGGCCCGGGACCCAGGGAAGGGAATTCTCCTGGTAAAGGTTGCCTTCTACCTCCGTCCTTCTCAGAGTACCTCTTGCACTTCCCAGGTGAGGCTTCACCCCACCAGCAGAAAGAAGAAGGTGGCCTAGAAACTGACACATAACGAGTGTCCAAAGGAATTGAGGAAATGAGCAATTTGCCATCTAGTCGCCCTAACTGGTCAGAGCTTGGTGTGTCGTAGATAGAAGCCTCGGGGTCAGGTGAGGTCCCCTACATCAGGATCAAACTGTCTGCAGGAGTGATCCCCTCCATTGGTTCCGCACACATCCAGTGGTCACCTTACAGAGAATGCCGAGGCGGAGGGCTGAATCCCCACGGTGATGGAGGCCCTCAGGTGAAGGCCCAGAGAGAGCAGGGTGTCCTGGCACTGGGAGTTCCACCTGTTGGTGACAACTCACACGCAACATCCCAGAATCCCACTCCCCAAAATTCTGTGCGTTCTTTTCTGAGGCAAGAGCTTAGGGTCCTTAGCAGCTGATTCCTCCATCATAATTACTAGCTCTTCCTGGTCAAGTTGCCCTGTGAGGGAGGCCTGAACTCCCCTCTTCTTACATCATCATTTCATCTTCAATAGACTGTTTCTATCAAAGTAATCTTTTCCTAGTTTCCTCTCCGCTCTCATGCCTTAGGGCCGTGGTCGGCAAACTGTGGCTCCTGAGCCACATGAGGCTCTTTGGCCCCTTGAGGGTGGCTCTTCCACAAAATACTATGGCCTGGGCCAGTCTATTTTGAAGAAGTGGTGTTAGAAGAAGTTTTAAGTTTAAAAAACTTGGCTCTCAAAATAAATTCTAATTGTTGTACTGTTGATATTTGGCTCTGTTGACTAATGAGTTTGCCGACCACTGCCTTAGGGTTTTGTTTGTTTTTCTACCTCTCCTAATATGAGTCCTCTTCTTGTCTTTAGGTTAACACCAGAGCATTAAGGTACAGTTCATGTCCCACTTGCTGCTCAGTTCGGTGGCCTCAGAACTGGTCCTCTCCCAAGAAGTGGAAGTCATTGACAGTGTCCTGGGATGGCCTGCCAATGCACCACCTGTGATCCTGTGGACAGGTTTCTTAGCAGGCTGGTGGCACTGAGCGTGGCATTCAGGTACCCCTCCCGCTGTGTAGTTCTGGGATCTCTACCAAGTATGAAAGTGAGTGAACTGAGGGAAACCAGAACTGTGCTTCTTGGTTTGGCACATGTTCAGAGGAGGAGAATCCCCAGTGCTGTTAGTTCAACAGCTTCTCTCCGTCTTCATCTTGTGTTCTCCAGGCCTTCCGTTCCACCCTCAGTCAGCTCAGTGGCCGAGCAGTTTTGTATATCTACTATGGGACCTGTGGCAGCTCTTTCTGGTTCTTCGTTCTGTAGGATGCTCCCGCACTGCATCAAGACTCCATTTCCTTCTCCTGCAGCAGCTTCCTGCTTCCTGGTCCCACTAGCCATGGTGGAGGTCAGGTGGGGCCAGTGGTGGAGGTCAGGTGGGGCCAGTGATGGCATATATGTAGCAAATGCTCTTCCACCTGGGCAGGTATAACCAGTGCATCACTGTGTGCGTTCTAGAGGACATGGATACACTGGTAGCCTCAAAAATCTGTGACACTCCACCAGCCAGAACCTGTTGGTCAGAATTGATCTTATTTGTCTAATCACAAAACTTATTTATGAACTGACTCTTATATAAGTCTTTTTACTCTGGGCTTCTTTGCCGTTGGGCAAAAACAGCCACTTAGGAGGCATCATTCCTAAATAACTGTGAGAGTCCAGTTCCCATGCCCCCAGATTGTGGGTGCTGACAGGAGCTGACCTTTTTAGGCGAAACGAAGACAAATCTCTTTCTTTTCCCTTCTCGTGTCCTTGGACAAGTATTATAGTCAGCCCCTGTTTGTCCTCTTGCGGGGGTCAGATAAGAGTTCATCCTTGTCTTCATCTAATCCACCTTCTAACAAGAAATAACACAAATATTTAAATTCCAAGGGAAAGTGCTCTTCGTGTATTTCTAACAGAAACCAGATGCTAACACCTAAGAAGGAGAATCTATGACAGGGGAAGTGGAAGGTGGAACCAGCTAGCTGAAAATTTCCTGTCAGAATAGTTGCTGTTAGCAACTGTTCACACCTCAGGTCTTCAGAAGGCTCTGGACAGCAGGTCTTCTTCCCACTCACACACAGCCGGCGCCTCACAGAAGCTTGGCATCCAGGTGTAGCTCAGCCGAGCCGCCTCTGCCGATGTGGAAGGCAGTCCCATGCCCCCTTTGAGGTTCATGTACCTCTAAGCGCTAGAGGAGCAGAAAGGAAGAGAGCTTTGCCTTGCTTCCAGCGGTAGGTCCCTCTGGGACCCGGCAGATATGAACCCTTGATTGTCCGACTGCTTGGAAGTAGTCACCATGGTTAGGACCAAGAAAGGATTTGATTCTTTTTCCATTTTCTCGTAATAGTCGCCCAGTCAACACAAGACTCATAAAACATGACTCAATGTTTTATAGGCTGACTTCCTGCTGACAAAGCTAGCTTTCCTCCAGGGGAATACGAAGGAGGGAGAAGCTCCCGTAGTGTGGGGAAAACATTTCTGTGACTCCGATATGATGAACCCATAGGAAAGGGAAAAAAATTGTCTATCCTGAGAGTTTTCTGAGACGTCCCTTCACCCTCCTGGGGATTTAGCCATTGATGTCCAAGAGGTCACTGACCAAGCTTTAATACATTTTTTGGAAAGAGTTAACTCACCAGTAAGGTCTGTTCTCAAGCCTTTCTGATGATTTCCGTATTTTCCCATGAAGCATTTTGGTTCTATTCATGGACCTTGACTTAACACTCTGTGGCCTACAAGTCCTCCATTCTCAGCAAATCAGGACTTGGGCGTTTTCCCTCTCCTAAACGCATTCTTCCCCGCCCAGGACTGCTTTGCCCATCTCCTGCTGTGATTCCAAGTACAAGCGAGGCCTCGGAGGGCTGAGGGGGTGAGGCGGGCCGGTGTGCTGTGTGTGAGCGTCGCGCTGTTTGTTCAGAAGGTCTGCAGCGGCCTTTGGTGCAGGCTCTGCCAGAGACTGTCGTGAACACTTTGCTTGAGATCCTGTACAATGGATATGCTGTTTTACTGATGTCTGTAATACATTTGTAAACTTCCAATAAAATTTGAGTAAAAGTGTTGCCATTTCTCCCTCGCTTTCCAGATTTTTGAAATGCGTTGCCTTTGAGCATCTCAATAGAAAAGAGAGAAACTGCTCGTGTCCTGGGTGAGATTCACTATGAAAGATGAGCCTGCCTGTGTTCATCTGAATGTCTCAGCTGCAGCCTTTTCCTCTTTGGGGCCAGTTCTCTGCGGCGGAGGACTCTTTGGGGCCAGTTCTCTCTGGCGGAGGACTCTTTGGGGCCAGTTCTCTCTGGCGGAGGACTCTTTGGGGCCAGTTCTCTCTGGCGGAGGACTCTGTGCTTTGTGGGATGTTGAATAACGTCTCTAACCTCCACCCACAGACAGCAGTAGCACGCCTCCCCCTGAGTTGTAAGAACCAAAGTGTCTCCATCCATTACACCTATTAGGATGATGACTAGTAAAAAAAAAAAAAAAAAAAAAAAAAAAAAAAAAAAAAAAGCTAGCAATAGCAAGTGTGGGCGAGGATGTGAACAAAATGGGAACCCTCGCGCACTTTGGTGGGAATATATCATGGTCCAGCCTCTGGAAAACACAGTGTTCCTAAACATCTTTAAATAGAATCACCATATGACCCAGCAATTCTACTTCTGGATCTATACCCAAATAATGGAAAGCACAGCCTCAAAAAGATATCTGTACACCATGTTCATATCAGCATCATTCACACTTAGCTAAAAAGATGGAAGCAAACTTAATAGCCATCAGTGGGTGAATAGATAAATAAAATGTGATATATACATACAATGGATAAACCTTGAGAATATGAAGATACATGAATTAAGCCAGTCACAAGAAGACAAATATTGCATAATTCCATTTATATGAGGCAAAATTCATAGGAGAGGTTGCATGGTGGTTGTCCAGTGCTGGAGGGAGAGCTGAATGGGGAATTGTGTAACGGGTATAGAATTTTTTTCAAGATAAATATTCTGAAAATTGAGTGCACAACAATGCGAATGTACTTACCACTATTGAACTATACATTAAAATGATAAAATTTTATGTCTTAATTTTTAAATATGTTTTTATTGATTTCAGAGGGAGGAATGGAGAGTGAGAGAGAGCTAGAAATATCAATGAGTTAGCACCTCACACCTGCCAGAATGACTACCATCAATAAATCAACAGACCACATGTGCTAACGAGAATGTGGAGAAAAGGGAACCCTTGTGCACTGCTGGTTGGAATGCAGACTGGCGTAGCCACTGTGGAAAACAGTATGGAGTTTCCTCAAAAATTAAAAAATGGAACTGCCATTTGACCCAGTGATCCCACTTCTAAGTATATATCCTAAGAAACCCGAAACACCAATCAGAAAAATTACATGTACCCCTAGTAGCATTATTTGCAATAGCTAAGATGAGCAAACAGCCCAAGTGCCTATCAGTAAATGAGTGGATTAAAAAACATGGTCGAATACTATGCAACTCTAAAAAAGAAAGATCTCTTTATCTTTTGAGACAGCATGAAAGGGTCCATAGAGTATTATGCTAAGTGAAATAAGCCAGTCAGAGAAAGATAAGTATCACATGATCTCATATGTGTAATCTAATGAACAAAATAAATTGGCAACCAAAACAGATCCAGAGACGTGGAAGCATGGAGCAGACTGAATCTCAGAGGGAAGCAGGAGGCAGGAAGAGATTAACCAAAAAATTTATATGCATATATGCATTCATGGACACAGACAATAGTGTGGTGAAGGCCTCTGAGGGTAGGGGAAGAAGGCAGGAGCAGGACGAAGGGGTCAGTGTGGGGATAAAAGGAACATCTGTAATACTTTCAACAATAAAAATAAATTAA